TACTTTTTTCACAAATTTGTGGTAAAAAAATATCATTTTTTGACTAAAGAAAAGTCAAAACAAAAAGAGTTTTTAGGATAGGATAAAAAGTATTATTTTTCCCTCAAAATTAATCAACATATTGTGAAATACAACCTTTCCAAGGAAAAATCACATTCTCAATGACTTTCATCATAACTATATGTGGGTATTATAACTTCTCCCCAGCAACAAAGTCATGAACAACACCATTAATCTCCACAGAGATCGCCGCCGGTCAGAATAGGGCCGCAGACGCCGCTTCAAACGTCTGGAGATGTCGCCGCCGTCCGGTGGTTAGCCACATAGAAGATGGGTTGCGGCCACTTTGTCTACTATTACAAGACGACGTCGTCAACAGCAGCGGCCGACCACCGGAGGAGAAGCATCACCATTCACCACTCGAAAAGCCCAGCTGCTGCCACTGCAATTTCGATCAACAAAGCCTTGCGTCTTTTGATTGGATTTAAGAATTGGAAAACATAAAATGAACAAAAAACACCAACATAAACTCGCAGATTATGAATTTCATATAGTATCTGCTTATAGAATTTCATAGATTATGAGAATGAAAAATTTGCGGATTAAAACATAAGTCATTTTCACTTAATTTTTTTTATTCTCTAAATAAGACTTAATAATGTCTAGAAAAAGAAATAATGTCCAGGGAGGACATTTACTTGAACAATGACTAATTAATAATGACCAATGATCCTATATTGGAAAATAAAAATATATGATTCTATATTGAGAAAGTCATAATGTTTTAGTTCTATTTAGATAAATAACTCTATTAGAATTGGAGGTGTAGAACAAAAATTGTGGATGGTGGAACTGATTTCTTGGATTTAGATAGGAGGGAGATGTGGATATTTGTGAGATCCCCACTATACCCCTATAAAGAAACGAATAAATTATCATGAAAGTATTAAATCTAACGGTGCTAGTCTATTCTTATTTCTTTCCTAAGATTTCATTTTCACCCAAACTAATATATACGGAGTATATATATATATATATATATATATGGTTTTTTTCTCTTTTCGTCTCTTTTTTCTATTCTTTTTTTATTTTAAATTCTTATTTTCTATCCGTCATTTTCTTGTTTTGTGCTGAAGCTAATTTTCCATTCTCAGCCTTTCTTTTTTGTTTTTCTTTTTTCGCTCATTGTTATTTCATACTTCGTATATTTTTTTAATTTCCTTTTTTTGAAACCGAAAGTGCATACTTATATTCACCTAAATAACAACGTTTTAATTAGTTTATAGAGTTTCCTTTATTTTAGTCAATATTTAAATAAAATAAAAAAAGAATAGAAAAAATAAATGAAAAAAATAAAAAAATATATTATAAGGAAAAATGAAGTCATGATATAAATCTATTGGACATCGGTAAAAAAAACCTTACTCTCTATTCTTTTGATCCAATAGATTCAAAGAGTTAAGAACTTTCTTAGACAGAAAATAAAAATGTTTAATATGTGATAAATGAAGTTAATATTAATTTTTTTATTTCTTTTTTTTATGTTAAACAAAAGTAATTTTTTAAACATTATGAAAATAGTTTTAGAAAATAACTTAAAAACATTTTTGAAAAAAAAAGAAACGAAGAAAAAAGAGATGGAACATTGGTGTCAATTTTCAAAATCACATGAACAGGAGAACTATTCATCTAAGATTTAAAAAGTATATATAAATACCATTTTAAACACGGATAAAGATGAATTCTTTAATATCTAGAATAAGAATTTTCTTACATATTTATTTGGGTGGTTATTTAACTGAATGACTTTTTAACATTTTAATTTTTCTAATATTTTTTAACATCTTCCCGTTCTGAATTCTCAAAGAGATGTGAGAGGTTTGGAAGTGGTTTTACAAAATGCAGAGTATTCCCACATTGCCAAATCACAAACAACCAAACCGGAATACAAGAATGGAGATGCCACCCATTGTCAGCACTAATAAGTGGTTGTAAGTTGTTGATATGAGATTGAGATTGAAAGTCCTCTCCTCCGTATAGACAGAATTAATTGGTTTTTAAGATATCTAATCACTAATTATTTCTCTCTGTGCGGAGGAGAGGACGGCCATGTAATCACATATCAAGATTTTATTTTTTTGTGATTTCTTTTTTTATTATATCTTTAGATTTTGATTTCCCAGTTTGGTTTTTTATCAAATCAATTTCGACCCGATGATTCGGTTTAATTTTTTGATGGTTTTTTTCCGATCCGTTTGCCGATCGGTGTGTCGGACAATTTTATTTTTTGGTTTATTGTTCAATCCTACTTCTAGTAAAAAAGGTAACTAATGATTGTTGATGCTATATAATTAAAAAAACATTCATAAATCATACTCGGTATTAACATGATTGTAAAATAGTATAACAAAACAATGAATTTTAATAAAAAAAATTAATAAAAACAAGGAAAAATTCACATGAATACTCCGAGAAATAGGTGATTTTACATTAATAATCTCAATTTGAGTGCATTTAAAAAAATCAAATAAAAGCTATTCAATATTTCCTACGTAATATCTTTCATAATCTTTCTTTCGGATGGAGTCTCTCATATACTCTCAAATTGAGTGCATTTAAAAAAACTTCTAATTATTTAAAAAAGAGAATTGTGTTTGTGTAATGTATTTTTTATGAGCTTTCAAATTAGGTTAAAAATAAATAAATGAGCACTATTCATTTTTATCTAAAAATAAATATAAACAAGTTATACCTAAAAAATATTTCATCTTTAAAAATTAAATAATTAGCATATTTTAAATTAATTTTTTTGGTTTATACCGTAATACACTATAATTTTTCCGTAATTTTTTCTATTTTTTCTTATTTCAATAAATTATTAAATGTACATCTTTAATGTTACATTCTCCGTTGTATATAAAAACACATTACTTAACTTTTAATTTTTTGAAAATATAAATATTGTCTTACTATTTCAGTATTTATTAGACATCCAATATTAAAATTCAATAGTACGGAGTAATAAAAATAAAAAATAAGAAAATCACAACAACTTCTGAGCTGGATCCCACAAGAGTAGACCCGATCACGGGCTCGGGTATCCGGCCCGCCCGCAAAATAGCGGGCTTGGGCTTGACATTTTAGGGTACGGGCCGGGCTTGGGCCTTATAAATGGCGGCCCAAAGATTTTAGGGCCGGGCTCGGGTTTATGCTCAAGCCCACGGGCCGACCCGGCCCGAATAAATTAAAATATTTATTATTAATATAATTATAATAAAATAACAATAACAGCATTAATAATAACAATAAAGAACAAACCTATTTCAAATTATTATAAACACACATACATACTTCTATGGAGAAAAAAATAAACTATAAGTTTATATAATAAAATGAATACATCTTTACTACTCCGTATTGTTTGCAATGTATCACACATTGATTATGACATTCTAATAGATAATATTGTGTACTCCATACATATTAGCAATATCAAACAAAATATATTTACATATTAAATTTTCTTTCATTACTCATAATAGTTTTTATATCAGATATCTAATATATTAACTTGTTACTTTATTTTTGTTAAAAAAATTATTTTTTAAATTATTTAAAAGTTTTTGTCGATTGGGCCGGGCCGGCCTAAAGCCCGCGGGTAACCATGCGGGCTGGGCTCAGGCTTCAATTGCTAGGCCCGTAAAGTAGTGTCTCGGCCCGGCCCAAAACCCGGCCCGGCCCGCACTTTGATGAGGTCAACACAAGAGTAAGATATAGAGAAAATGTGTGTAGGGAGACCTAGCGAGTAGCCATTGCTCAAAAGTAGAGATGTTATTTCCAGGATACTTCTAGCTCAAGCAGCGTAGGTAATACAAGATCACAGAAAAAAACAAAAAGACAAAGAGGTTGACCTTTTACCCGCTCACTCGTCAAGGTCGACGTCTGGTCTGATTTTCAGAATATTGAAATCGATGAGCAAAGAGGTTTACCTTTGACCCACTCACTTAGTACTCTCTTTGGTCCTAAAATTTTTTCATGTTTTGACTTTTTAGAAAAAAAAAGTCAAAAGTGAGAGTAAAACATTGAAAATATACAAAAATAGAAGTTTAATATTTTTATTCACGAATTATGAGTACAATTAAAATATATTTACGGTGTCAATCGTAACCATATACATCACCAAAAAGTATTGGGAAATGTCCACGTGTAGTGTCACATTACCACAATTTGAACTCTTATTTTGGGAATAAAAAACATAAAATTTCTATTTTGGTACTTTCTTTATGATTACTCCTATATAGTATAGGGCAATTTATTCTTTTTTTGGTTAAACATGAACACTCTTTGACCATAAATTAAACATACTCTAAATAAATAAATGTTAAACAAATTTGACATATTAAAACTACATATATCATAAGATGAACCCAATTCTATTGAATTTATATTATTATACCAGAAAATTACTCACGGGTGACGCATATTTTGTCGAAATAACTCTCAGGTCCCTCCTCTATTTTCAAGAAGACAACGGATACATTTTGTTGTAATGACTGGGAGGGAACATTGCACCCAATATTTCATCCATAAATGTAAATAAATGTATTTTTTTCTAAATATTTTAAGGTAATAAATCTTAGGTCGCTCCTTTTTTATTTCTTTATTTTCTTTTTTTTTGTTACTCTTTTTTTAAAGTGTTATTTTAGAATTTCTTCTATAAAATCGGATAAAAATTCAAAGTTTTTTGTATTTTATTAAAATAAATGAAATAAAATATTTTCTAAAAAAGAAAAACCCGAGTAATGGCAAAATAGGAAAAAACGGTAATGGAAAAATAGGAAAAAAATACATTTATTAACACTTATGGATGAAATATTGGATGAAATGTCCCCTCCCAGTCATTACAACAAAATATAAGGACCTCAGTTGTCTTCTTGAAAATAGAGGGACCCTAAGAATTATTTTGACAAAACTCACGTCACCCGTAAGTAATTTTCTGTTATTATACAGAGTATTTAATTTACTTTTCTCACAACTTATGGTAAAAAAATGTCACTATTTGACCAAAAAAATCAAAACATGGAGAATTTTTTTTCCCTCTAAATTAATCGACATATTGTGAAATACAACCATTCCAAGGAAAAATCACATTCTCAATGACTTTCATCATAACTATGTGTGGGGATTATAACTTCTCCCCAGCAAGAAACTCATGAACAACACCATTAATTTCCACAGAGCTGCAGCCTGGAGTCTTCTTGTCTATGAGCTCCTTCTTCTTCCTCATCATCTTTCTCAACCTATTAGCCCCGTCGTGTCTACCAGCCGCGGCATAAAGGTTAGACAGCAGAACATACGCTCCGTCGTGTCGTTCTAACCTAAAAATCTTCTCTGCAGCAGCCTCGGCCAAGCAAACCTCCCCGTGATCCACACAACCACTCAACAATGCCCGCCAAGCCACAACACTTCCGTCTTCTTCTTCTTCGTCTTTGTCTTCTGTATGAGCACTCTGGACTAGATTTCTGGCCTCTTCAAGGAAACCCTCTTTGCTAAAAAGGTGTATCAGACAGCCATAATGTTCCCCTTTAGGCTGGATGTTATATGTATTGCACATGACACTCAACAGCCTTAGTCCTTCACTGGCCATTCCTGGACAGGTAGTGCAAGCAGTTAACAAGGAAATGAGGGTAATATCGTCCGGTCGGGTCCCAGAATTTTGCATCTCTTGGAACAGAGCCATGGCTTTTTCGCCCCTCCCGTTCATCGCGAACCCGGAAATCATGGCATTCCAACAAACGACGTCTCTAACAGGCATTTTTTCGAACAGTTCCCGGGCAAAATCCAAACGCCCGCATTTCGCGTACATGTCTACAAGAGCAGTTCCTAGTCTCACAGTCATTGCCATCCCTAACTTCTCCAAATATCTGTGGACCCATTTGCCATTGTCAAGTGAACCCAGCTGGGCACAAGCTGAGAGAATGCTGACAAGAATCATCTCATCAGGCTGAACCCCAGTCATCTGCATCACCCTAAACATCTGCAACCCTTCTTTGAAACAATTGTTCTGCACATACCCAGAAATCATAGACCCCCAAACTCCCCTATCCTTCACTGGGGTCTCATCAAAAACCAATCTTGCTTCAAAAACATCACCCGTTCTCGAATACCCAGAGATCAGAACCGTCCAAGTCACCACACAATGGCTAGGCATTTCGTCGAACACGTATCGTGCATCTTTCATGACTCCAAGCTCAGAGTACATGGAAATTAAACTGTTCCCAACATAGGTATCGGCCAAGAATCCGAATTTCAAGCATTGCCCATGAATTGAACTCCCAAGACTGTAACTTTCCATGTCAGAACAAGCCTTTAACAGATAGGGGAACGTGTAGTTATCCGGACACATCCCAATCTGCAACATGTGTTTGTACATCCCCACGGTTCTGGTCAGCTCATTGCTGAGAAAGAAAGCTTTGATCATGGTGTTGACAATACAGACTGTGGGTTCTTGAATTTTTTCAAAGATTTCCCAAGCATAGGAAATGCTTCCTGTTCTTCTTCTTGTTGTTCCCAGATTGTGGGGAGAAGAAAAGAAAGCTAGGAGCCTGCTGTGGGCAAATGTGTTGTGGGAAAGACCAGAGGTGATGACCTGGCCATGGGCTTGGTTCAGTTCCTTCAGATCTTTGCATTTCTCCAGAAGTCTTAGGCATCTGCTGCTACTGCTTGATGACATTCATTACCCTTCACAAAAACTCTATCTTTTCTCTGCAACTTTCACCCTTTTCAAAACATTTTTTTAAAAAAGTAAAATTTCAATCTATTTAGAAATTCATATAGAATTAAAAATGAAATTTATATACTTAAACATTGTATATAAAATTCTTCAATGGAAGAGATAATAGGATTTCATTATTTTTGCAAATATACAACAGTTTGTAAAAATAAAAATGTGTGATTTATTATTTTTGTAATTTATTTCCTTCTTAATCATAGGATTTCAAGTTTTTTTTAAAAAGTTGTTTATTTTGCACAACGTTCAAATAGGAAATTTCATTTTGGAACGGTTGGGTATAAAATATTAGCTACTTTTGATGTCTTCCCCTAATACTCCCTCCGTCCTACAATGATCTTCCCAGAGCACTATTTCAACTTCACGGGAATTTATATTTATTTGTGTTTTTTTATGGCCTACATGATAAAATAAAATATTCTTGTCAACACTTGTTTTGTTGAACTTTTGGTGTAGTTTTTAAATATGTATATTTTATTTTTTATTTCTATACCAATATTTAAATAAAATAGATTGAAAAAACTTGGGATTTTTCTTCGTTTTGCGAATCGGGAAGATCATTATAGGACGGAGTGAGTAGTATAATTATTAGAATATTATTTTTTTAAATTTATGTCTGAAGAAAATAATTATGGATAATTTCATACTATAAAGACAAATTTTATGATGGATCTAAGGTCCATCATGAACTTACAGACGAACAAAATAAGAATTTCTTACTGCTTAGATAAGAATCTATTTTTTCAATAAAAAAATAAAAATAATTAATGACGGAAGGTCCACAAAAATGATAAGCATCCAAGGTGCACCAAAGATGCACTCTACTATAAAACCTTGTGGACAATTAAAAATTGAGGAGATATAGAGTTACACCATCACATGGTGATACCATCACACTTGGGTACCTACAGTGCTCCGATCAAAAAAATAATTGTTCATACCCCTCCTAACCACCCCCTTAAATATATCTCCCATGTTTTCCCACTTCCGCTCACCCCTGCCCATGCCCCAATGGCCACCCGGCTTGGATTGCCAATTAGGGGCAATTAAATTGAATTAATGCAATTCAGGGTGGGGGCGGGGCGGGTGGGTGTGTGGGAGCGGGAAAACATGAGAGATATTTTTAGTGGTGTCATTAGAACGGGTAGAAATAATCAATTTTTTGATCGGAGCACCGTACCCCAAGTGCGATGGTGTAAAAGATGGTGTCATCACATGGTGTAACTCTCTACAGCTCCTCTTAATCCGTCCCTACCTCTTCCAAGAATTCTATTGGAGTACCTTCTTATGCGAGCTACCAGACTTAATGACATTTTTTAAAATTCAATTTCATTAAATTTAATCTAAAATAAAAATAATCTATATACTCCCTCTACCAAAAAAATACACTTCCATTTTTGGTCTGTCACAAAATAAATTTTATTTTCTTTTTTTATAATAGTTATCTTTATATTTCTCTTTCAAATCAAATCCAACTACCATTTAAAAGAACTATTCATTTTTATTTTTTTCTCATTTCATTTTTTGACAATGTAAATAGTGAACCTTAAGATTATTTGAGGGTCAAAAACCACTTTCATTATGTGAGTCTATTATCTAACTACACAATCGTAGGCACATATAACCATAGTCCGAGCCCATTTATAGTACTCCCTCCGTTCTAAAATTAACTTCCCATTTGACTTTTCACGGTCTCCAATGCGACACTTTGACCATCAATATCTCAATTTTTATATAAATATATTTTATAAAAATTATATATTTTAAAACTATGTTTCAAAATGAATCTATTGCTAACAAATTTATTTGAAAATTCAATATACTTTTTCCGTAATATGCGGTTAAAGTTTAAAAAATTTGACTACAAAAGTCAAAATGAGAAATTAATTTTAGGACGGATGGAGTATGTACATTAATAGAGTATATAAGTGAAGTATGAAGTTTATGGTCTTGTTTGGAAGTAACGCTTAGCATTTTAAATCATTTTATTATAGTGCGAATTAAATTTGAAAACCCTCAATTTATAGAAATGCTACTGTACTAAATACTCCCTCCGTCTCGTAATTCTCTTCTGGATATGACTTGACATGCTTTTAATAAAGTGAAAAAACATAACGTATAATTCCAACTCATGTAGAGGAAAGAAATGATTAGAACCACTCAACCACATGGTCTTAAAAGTGAAAGAAAATTTTGAGACAACCAAAATAGGAATTTGAGAAGAAACTTAATGATAATAAAAAAAACATGTTCCAAAAGATCCAACAATACTATCAGTCTTTCTAAAGAATATTAGAAAGTTGTGCATACAAAGAAAAAGAAAAGAATAACTTTGAGGTAAGCAAAGAAATCTTCTCTTGTCTCCTCCTTTATAATATCATCACCAGTTTTCCTCAAACTGTTACCCACCAACCAATATACCAGAATTGCCCTCACTGGCTGGTGAATTAAAATGAGGTAATTAATGCATAATAACAATTTATTTAAAGTTTGGGACTCTTGTCTAACCTCATAATAATAATATCCTAGCAATTGCTAAGCCAATTTTAGTGATTTCAATAATGTGTGAATTGGATGGGTAATTTACAAGGTCCCGTCGAACCGCTCCGGACCCTATGATGCCCCCCGTGTTCCAAGATCCAAGGGCAGACGAATGGGAACAACGTCAATTGGACAAGATTAAACAGAGGTACATAAATCTCAATCAGACCGTTTTCGGTGTCATGAATCGTGAGTGTGCCTCTCAAAGTGGAGTGCAATTTTGATCTCATGTGTTTTTCAAATGGGATGGGAAAGAATTGCAGGTATGAGAAGCAGGAAGAAATAGTTGCAACATGGGAAAACGAGCACAAGCGCAAAGCAGAACTCAAGTATGAAAAGATTGAGGTTTGTTTTTCACTTCCTCACCCTCGAGATTTTTGAGATGCATCAAAAATTGAACGAATGTGGACATACGCTATGTCTAGATTCATCCAACTCTTGATGTATACCACAGAAGTCATGATGGTCAATTGTTTGTCAATTACTGTCTAGATTAGATTTTTTGGTCTAGGAGAATCTTAAGTTGAACTATTACCTTAGTCTAAGAGATAAGGAATAATACATGCAAAGGCTCCATGCAACGCCCGGTTGCTTGTCATCATCATTGGCCAAAGACTAGTCCGAGCAATACTCCCTTTCACACCTCTTCTTTCCCATCTAAGCTATATCTCGGTCAACTCCAGCCTTTCATCTAAAAAACGCACAAGTCAAAAGTCAGAACGAAAAACAAGAAACGCTGCATTAAAAATGAATAGAATCAGTAGATTATAAAAAAATCCAACAGTTGTTGCATTTCAATAGATTGACCAAATGAAATGAACCATATAAACAACATTTTGAAATGCCTTGACATTTCAGGCTGAGCTGAAAGAGAAGATGGCAAGAGCTTTGAGGCGTTACGAAGAAGAGATAGAAGGAATAGAAGGCATATCAAGAGAAGCAAGAGCCCAATTGGAAAGTGAAAAGAAAAGGGAAGAGCATAAGGTGAAGGAAGAGGCCAACCAAATCAGATTCACTGGCACCTTTCCCGAACAGTCATGTTCCCTCATGTAGCCGCGCTCTTTCACAACTGCAATGTTACATAGACAAATTATATCGTGCACCCGCCATCCGGATGTACCTGCTTTCTTTCATCTAGGTCCAATTAACACTATATAACTTGAAAGTGTATGTATAATTGTATACTAACTTCATAATGTGCACACTCTGTATGTAAAAAAAATAAATGGGTTTGCATTTTCATGATATAAATTATTATTGACAAAATGAAAATTATAAAAGAATTAAGCTTGGGGTACCCAATTTTGACATCACTCTTCCCACAAATCCCGAAAAGAGCCAGATGTTTGGGAATGTACGTAAAAAGGTGGTACAAAAAATGGGTTACGCCTAGCATTTTGTCAGTATGAAATATGCATACATCAGTTTCATTATGTGCATGCTCCAACTATATGCAAACAAATAAATGTGCGAAAGAGGTTTTTTTACTTGTAAATGTGTATACGTTGGATGTACAATAAACACCGTACATCTAGATGTATAATATAGAAACTCAATGTCACACTATTTATCACAATTTGCACGTACCCTAAAATTCTGTCATATTCATAATTGTTCAGGCAATAATAATGTACCCAAAAGTACATAATCTAATTTGAACACCTGTGGTTATAGTGGACAATTGAACATTGCATTCATCTTAAAAAAAATACTGTAAATAAAAAAAAAGACCTGTTTGGCAAAGCAGTTAGCAGATAGTAGCTGTTACAATCTTCAAAAAAAAAAAAGTGAACCATCTTTCTATATGATATTCTTGTTAAATATGGGTAAACTGCTTAAGTAACAATCTCAGCCATTTGTGAAAATAAGTTCAACAACAAGTAGTTGGATCCCACGGGAGTAGGGAGGTTGTTTCCAAGAGACCCCTGGCTCAAGTACCACAGATTGGTGTCAAACATAAATCAGGTAAAGACTTGACTAGGATAAATAATCCTGTACATAAATTAAAAACTTATTCAGATCGAAAGGGCTTCAATAAAAGTTTTTGATTCACTTGGATAAGTCTATTTTTTTCAAATGAAGGGCAAAGAACACCACATATTGAACTACAGTGCGAAAAATTAAAAATGTACCACTTCCAGGTGAAGAACAAGGTTGGTGGTCTGGAGTGATCCACCTCTTGGAGAATCCAAGTTGGTATTATTCTACAATTAGGTTTGTCCAAAGGCATCCAATGACCAAGTGCAAAGGCCATGCAACAAAGATATCAAAAGAAAGAGTCAAAGTGAATGACCCTCACGATGTCCTCAATTTAAGTGCTATACCTTTTGTACTTGGATTCAACATTTAATGATCATTAAGAAAATTTACTTTTTGATGTACGAGCATTTGAAAACTTGCGGGGGAAATGTAAGTTTTTAAAGAAAACTTAAGCATATTGTAGTGGGTAAAAATAAATTAATATAAATGCCTATGCTATTATCTCTGAAGGTCTACTATTTGTTCCAAAGGGAAGGAAATCATTGGCTGGTAAAGTGAGGGAAACCACCCTAATGAGGAACCCCTTACTCACCTCTGGAGCCTCATTCTTTATTCACAATTTTTTGATACATGACTCAATGAAATCTCACTTGTTGAGGCTCAGAACAGTGTTTCCACAAGGCAATGAGAAGCCACATCTGCCATGGCTGCAATGACCGAATCATTTCGAATTGCCGCGCCAAGATACATAATACTCCTCAAATTCCAAAAATTAGTACTCCGTAGTCAGCATCATCACAGCCTCATAAGAATCACAACAATAACAATGTTTCAACTGAAAATCTGCTGTTTTGATTTCACACACTAATAGAAAAAGCATACCTCAACTATTGAGTAAAATGTTTGTAAAGCCAAATGGCTACACAGTTCTAGTTAATTGTTCCAGACATTGTGATTATTCTTAACTTGAAAAAGTTAAGCCGGGGGTTTCTTGGAAACAACCTCCCTACTCTTGAGTAGGGGCAAGGTCTGCATACACACACCCTCCTCAGAATCTACTCTCGTGGGATCTAACTGGGTTGTTGTTGTTATTGTCTTAACTTGTAAAAGCTTGAGCTTTATTGAGCTAACGGAGAACAAAAAGTTATATCTGACTTGTTTTCTTTTAGAATGGAGAGAGTATTTGTTTGTCTTCCTTTCTTAGAGGAAAGAAAGGTGAAAGGGTTGTTTCACTATTCGGATGGAAATTGAAACATCATTGCTGAAGAGAGAGGCCACTGCCCTTCCAAGAAACTCCCATCTCCTTCTTCACAGTTCTTACTTTCCATAAACGGAGTATATAAATAGTTCTCTTGTTGAGGCTCAGAACTAAATCTCCACTCAGCAATGAGAAGCCCTGGTAGCCATGGCTGCTATAACCTAGTCATTTGGAATTGCCCCGCCATGACACAGAAGTGTCCATAAAATGCCGCAAATTAGTAGAACTAGCATCATCTGTTCATCACAGCCTCATTAGAGTCACAACAATATCAATCCATTGTTTCAACTGAGCTCTGCTCTTTTAGTTACAAAATCAATGTAAAATTCCTGCAAAGCTGAAGGAAAGATTTACAAGAATGGGAAGAAAACAGTTTGTTTTTACAAATAGTGACTTTTGGATCAACATATTTGACCCCAAAGTCAAATAAATTTGGGAGACGAAATTAAAGGAATTGCGGGGTGGGTAAAGGTCAAGCTGTGGGGGAGGGGTTTACCCGAGGGGGTGGAGGGTAGGAACCATCAATTTTACGAACGGGGCACCTTAAGTCCTCCAAACGGAGTTTTGACACAGGTTTCAAAGAAAGCCCTCTTGTTGAGGCATAGAACGATGTATTTACAAGGCAATGAGAAACCAAACCTACCATGGCTGCAATAACAGAGTCATTCCAAATTGCCCCGCCATGATATGGACTGCATCCTCATAATGCCCCAAATGAGTAGTAGAGCCCAGTATCATCACAGCCTCATCAGAGTCACAATAATAACAATCCATTGTCTCAACAGCAATTTTGATGTTCTAGTTTCAGAAACAAATTCAAAACTCCAACTAGTTTTTAGTAAACAAAAACCTGGAAAAGCAAACGGCTAGCAATTTTAGCTAATTGCTATAAACCACTTTCAAACTAATTTAATAGGTATAATCAAATAAGTGATCATTCATAACTTGTAAAAGCTTGAGCTTTGTTGAGCGTATTCAGAATATGAGTTAAGTCTTTCATCTTTTTTTCTTATTTCTTTTCACTTTCCCGCATTCACATGCACACCCACTTCCTTTCATTTTCCACCACACACATCATATCATCTTCAACTTACTGTGTTCTTTTTTCACTCCAGAAATGAAACAACAACAACAACAACCCAGTTAAATCCCACAAGAGTAGGGTCTGGGGAGGGTGTGTGTACGCAGACCTTACCCCTACTCGAAAGTAGAGAGGCTGTTTCCAAAGAGACCCCCGGCTCAACGTCGAAAGTTGCATTGCTTGACTAACTGCTACTTCATTAATTAAAGAAGCGCGGACAGTTTAGAGATCCATTTTGATTTATTCCATCACACCCCAAAGCCAAAAAATGGTGAAATTTTGGCTCCATCGAAGATGATGGAAAATCTCCAGAAATGAAACAAACTCCAAAATAATTAATACTTCGTAAATGGAGAGATACCATAACAAGGGAGTTTTTGTTTGGCAATTCAGATGAAAGGGCTGTTTGGCAATTCAGATGGAAATAGACAAAACATAGCAGAGGAGAGAGAGAGAGAGAGACAGGCAACTACCCTCTCAAGAAACTCCCATATCTCTCCCTCCCTTAGCAGAATAGCAGGTCCCCACCTCTGTTTCTTCTTTCATTTGGTTCTGGCCTCCTGGTGCTATTTTCTTATGAGGCTCAAACTAAGACAATGAGAAGAACAACACCATGAGTGCAGTTACTGTTTAATAGCAGAAAATGTCCTGACATAACTAGCCAAGTATCAACACAACCTCCTCTGGGTCACAATAATAACAATATCTCATTGCTTCAACTGCAATTCTGTTGTTCTAGGCTTAGAAAAAGAGGCCCTTTTGCCAACAAATTCAAAGTTTGCTATTTGCATTAGCTTTTTGGATAAAAGACTTCTGTTAGCTTTTTAGGTAGATGACACTTCAAGCTATTTGTAAAATATATCCCGTATAATGGGTTATTTGAATATTAGGAGCTTGACAAAATTGCTAAAACATCCTTTAATCTAATTCATTATAATTTAAAAATATATTATGAATTTACAACTGATTCCACATATCATTTTTATAATTTCAAATGCAATTCAACAATTTTTATCAAACAAAAACAAACCTTGTTTCAATTGACCACATTTGGTCGCAAGTAACCACTAGTAAAGTATGCATGCTATGTTCAACAATGTCTTTACTTCAAAAAAAATATTTCCCCTATCCCTAAATAAACTTCAGTTTTCAATTTATAATGTTATAATGTTGTTACTTTCAATTCAATTTATTTAAATATTGATGCAAAACAAAGAAAAAGATTCATTTATTTATATTATATCAAAAGATCTATTAACAAGTCACTATTTTATTGTAAGAAATGATAAAAGCAAATTAGGAAATAAGATAGAATTTGACCATATAAATAGTAAAAGTGAATTTTATTTGAGAACAAGGTTGTAATGTTTGACTAAATCAAAATTTTATTTAAGAAACAATCTCTTTGTTTTTAAATGGTAAAGATGTATACACCTTAATGTTTCGCCAGTACCCCAAGAGAGTTAGGGATTATACTAGGTTTTGTTGTTGCATCATCATCATCATCACCATCACCATCATCATCATATTCATATCATCCTCTGTTGGTTAATTCCAGTCCAGAATATAGTTTAAGTTTAAAAATAAATAAGTAAAAAAAAAAAAAGGTAGACAGTCAGGCAGTTAGGCAGTTACTAGTTACAGGCAGTTTTATGACAGTTTCCAACAGATGTGTTGGTTAGAAACTGTTGTGTCTATTTGTAATGGTTGTGTTGTTTAGTCCTCTATTTATATGTATGGGCACATTGTTCTGGACAGCAGTTCCACAATAAAAACACACTGTTTCTATAATTTAGATCTGTCATTATTTCTCTAAATTGGTATCGGAGCCCTGGTTAAGAAAAAATCAAACACAGATCTGTGATCAGTAGTTGTCTTGCAATACGCCTGAAAAACAATAGTCTGTGATGGAGGCCATCAA